CTTGAGCCCAGGAATTGGAGGTTGCTGTGAGCGTGATGCCATGGCACTCTACCCAGAGGGGATAGCTTGAGGCTCTGTCTCAAAAAAAAAAAAAAAAACTTGCTAACAAAAAGCTAAACCAGTACCAAAAGAAAAATGAATGTGTATGTGCTCGCATAGTTGAGAATAAAAAAAATTGGTATACTTAATTTTAACTGGGTTTTTATCATGAATTAACATTTTAGTTGATTTTTTTTTTTTTTGTCATTTATCTATTTTGATAAGTTCCTCAACTTTCCTCGCCACCCCCATCTCCTTTGTAACAAATGCTTTTGGGTGATAAATGCCACTGCTTTGTGAGTGTCCTAGCATTAACATCTTCTAGGATTCCAGGGTACCAAAAACCTCTAGGGAACATATCTTTGTAGAATTCCTACCATATCCTTGATACATGAGGTGCAGTAAACTGGGAATGATATAGGATGAATGCCAGGAAGCTGAAGCAAGTAGAGTTAAGAACTTGAAGCTGCACCCCAGATTTGGAAACCCATTATCCATCCTAGGGCTCTTTTCCTTAATCCCAGAATCCAGTAATGTACTTTATATACTCTACTATGTGCCTTACATACATAATTCTTATTAATTTTCACAGCTTTATAAGGTAAGTATCATACTAATTTTCCTGGTGGGGGACTGAGGTACAGATTATTTTACCTAAATCACACAGCAACTGTATTGAGCTGCAATTTGAACCTAGACCTCTGACTTCCTCATTCCTATACTTAACCACTAAGCTACATACTCTACCTACCAAAAAGCACAAAGGACCTTTTCAGCCTAGGAACAGGTGATAAAGCTCCTAGGAGACTTGCCTGCTCCTTGTTCATCTGTCATCTGCTGTGCCTGGTGAGGTAGCTTGTTACAGTAGGTACCCAATTAACGTGTGAATAGTGTGAAAACATGAGAAGAAAACAAAACTTCAAATAGGTCATTCAAAATGATGATTCAAAAAGAAATATTAAATGATAAATGTTTTGATTTGCCTTCATTTAAACTTAAAAACATTTAGTGGTATTGTCAGCCATGTTTTGGGTCTACAGTAGGTGTTCATTTAAAAATTAATTTGACTTCAACTTCCACATTTCTATATCTATGACTTTTTCTTCTATTTCCCCAATTCCTGTCCTTTATGTTTTTACCTCTCCCACCAATCTGTTTCCTTTTATTTGTTGTGAGACTGATGAATTGAAGGATTCAAGTAATTTATTCTCAATAAAAAGCAGGGTGACAGAATAACCACTTTCCTCTTTTTGCTTTAACATGATATAAATAAGAAATTCATCATTTCTCTGAGAAACCAAAGAACCCCTCCAATATCATATTGTGATTCATTTGATTAAGATTTACAGAACAATCTAAGGTTGTATAAAAACAAAAGTTGGTTAGGGCGGTGCCTGTGGCTCAAAGGAGTAGGGCAACAGCCCCATATGCTGCAGGTGGTGGGTTCAAACCCAGTTCTGGCCAAAAACTGCAAAAAAAAACCAACAAAAAAAAAAACAGAAGTTGGTTATTCTAACCACCTGTGATTCAATTTCCAAAAAAATATTTATGGATTTCTAGGGTAAACTTATAAAGACAGTCTATCATAAAAGAAATGAAAGATAACTTTAGGAAATGATAGACAAGTGCACACCACCCTAACCTAGCAGCAAACTTAAAACAAAAAAGTTATTTAATAGTTTAAGTGAAACAATCTCCCCAAACTAATGTTAACTTTATACACTTTAATGATCTGGCTACCATCTACCAAATGTTATTTTTCAAGTGAGAACAGAA